TGTGCAGCCACCGCCCCCTCGTGGCTGATTGCCCGTGTGTGTGTGTGTGTGTGTGTGGGCAGGAGGGCAGCTTTGTGTGTGTGTGTGTGTGTGTGTGTGCAGGAGGGCAGCTTTGAAACCTTTGCGTACCTGGGTTCTGTTTCCTCTCCCGTGCGCATCTTGTTTTCACAACCAGATGTTGAGCTCCGTCCTCGTGGCGCTGCCCTCTCTTCATAAACCACCGAGTTTCGTTCCCATTTGAGCAGCTGTTCTGCTTCCTTTTCCCAGCGTTACATGTTTGCATTTTCTGGTTTCACAGATAACTGTTCAATGTTTAAAATAATTTATTTTGTCTTTGTTGCTACTGAGACTATACGGCAAAACACACCCCAATTCTGCACAAACAGCAGCCCGCTCTATGCCGACGGGCCCTGTGCTTCTTCCCTTCCTACGTCTCCAAGAGCCTTCTGCATCAGGATTCCAAGCAGCTGACACAATAGATAGATGGATGGATTGTGATAAGAGTTGTCAGAGCCCCCAATAAAATGATTTTTTTAAAAAGAAGAAGAATTCGAAGCAGCGCCTTCGTCTTGTTCACAGCTGCCTAGCATGCCTTGGTCGAGATGTACAGAAATGCATATATTACTACTTTTATGTTCTCCCTGCTTAAAAAAAAACTACGCTAAAATATGTACATAGATATAAATAAATAAGACATGGCAACCAGGTATGCTGGATACATTGCTATTGGGGGGACCCCACATCTAATGCCCTGAAATCATCTTTGAACCTTGAATGAAAGCTATCCCATCAGACCATCATTAAACTACACAACAGGTTAGCCTAGTTCATAGAGCATGTTTGCCTTGAGTATTCTTATGCTTTTATAAAGAATTGTCTGGATGAGTTTCAGTGGAGAGCGGCTCATCTGATGGCAGAGGAGCGATGAAGGAGCAGAGAGCCTGACTTCCTGGTACTGACGTGGTAGGGACAGCGGGAGTGAGAATGGCGAGACCACTGATGGGTAATACCAATGCCACCGACCTGCGCATGGAGAAATCATAAACAGATGTGTGTTTGGTTGTGTATTGCCACCAAAGGAAAAAAGTGTTAAAATGTAATATGTATCTATAGCAAACATAAAAGTTGTTATTCCAACCATTTTTTCACATGTGCAATTCAGTGGTATCAAAACAAATTTACCACCCTCTCAACCTGGAGAGTAATAGAAGTTCAACCCCCTTTAACAATGTTAAAACAATGTTTCCCTTTGGCTCCTCCCCCCTGCTGCAGGTAACATTACTATGCCGTCAGCCTTGAGGCAGTGAGTTTCCAGTTGGGCTGCTAACCACAAGGTCAGCCGTTTAAAATCCCCAGGTACTCCTAGGGAGCAAGATGAGGCTTTCTGCTCTTATAAAACGAGTTACAGCCTCAGAAACCCACAAGGACATTCTACTCTATCCTGTAGGGTCTCTGTGAGGCAGAATGGGCTCAACGCTAGTGAGTGATTCTAGATACATCATTTAAGTGGAAATCTAGAAGACTTGTCCTTTTCTGCCTGATGTATTTCCCTCAGCATCATATTTTCGGGTGTTATCCACATTGTAGCATGTACCAAAAGTTCATTTTCCAAAAACTGTGGTAAGTGTACATGCCAAACACCATCGGTTTCAGTGCTCTGCACATGTGCAGTTTAGAGGCGTGAACTGAGCTCATGTTGGGCCATCTGCTCCCACAAAGACTAGGCTGGAAAGCCCTGCGGAGCAGTGCTGTGCCATCACGGGAACCCGGGCCCTGACGACAGCCTGGGTGATCCTGTCTAACTTTATACTTGTCACAGGGGCTTCAACATTCCCAGTCCCACCGGCCATGGAAAAGAGTCCTCATTCTCTCCATCCTTGCCAGTACTTCTTGTTTTCCATGTGGTCGTATCGCGGCCACGGGAGTGGGGGTGAAGTGGATTCTCCTTGGGGATTTGATGTGCCTTTTCCTAATGACGCATGCCCATGAGTGTCTTTGCACGTGTTAGCTATTCATGCAGTCTCTCCCAAGAAATGTCTCTTAATAAGTCCTCTGCCCAGTGTTTATTTGCATGGGTTATCTATTTGTGAGTAGGTGGAATTCCTTATGGATTCTGAATATGAAGGCTCTCCCTCCCACATACAGTTCCCCAATATTTTCTCCCACCCTATAGTTGTGTCTTCAGTTTGTTGCTAATTTTTTTTAATGCAGAAAACTTGAAGACTTCTTAAAATAGTTTTTTGGTTTGTTTGTTTTGAGACTAAACATGGCAAATGCACACCCGTAGCACAGGCTGCACAGTTCAGTCCTTTGAGCTGTGCAGCCACCGCCCCCTCGTGGCTGATTGCCC